TAAACATCTGGTTTATCATTCATCCAGCTGAGCTGGTTTATATTTTGTTAGAAGAAAAGGCTTGGGATTAAAGGCATTTAAGTAATTAAGCACACGTCAAGACAATTTGGTGATGGGTAAATATAGTCTCCGTTAAATGCACCGTCTGGGGGGCTCTGGTTTAGATTTATGTCCGGCTGGAATACAGGGATGAAAGCGGAAGGCCAGGGGAACGGGCCTGGTTCTGGGGGGCAAGAAATCAAAACCAAATGAGTTTTCAGAACCTGAGCACTGTCCCTCAGAGTACCTGTCCTGATGCTTGGCCTGGAGGGGACAGAGCTGGGGGGCAGAGGACCCCCTGTCACCCGGTGGCCCTGGTAGATTTCATGAGATCCTCACTTTGGGAGGCAGACCATAGACTGAGCTTCCTGCCCAAGAAACCAGAGATGTCTTGGAAGCTAAATGCAAGAGCTCAGGTTTTATATTATGAGCGTGTTTTTGCGTATTAGCCCCAGGGTTTGAGTCCCCCCTACTCTGGTCCTTGATCCTGACCCTGTGGATGCAGAGGGGTGGCGTTGCTGGGCTTGGCTGGGTCAGCAGAGCTGGGGCCTGTCCTGGACAGAGAGAAAATGAGCCTTTTCCCGGGGGGTTATGGTTCTAAGTAACAAGTATGAAGAATCTGGTGACTTGAAGGGACTTTGGGGATCAGTAAAAAGGTCCTTGGTGGGCCATGCTTTGTGTGAGCTGAGGTGCCACTTCTCTTTCGGGAGAGAGGGAATGGAAAATGTCCCTCCTGCCTGGGCCCCTCCTGTGGGAGTAAGAGGGCAGAAGAGGGGGCCTCTCTCCCCCTGGGTCCCAAGCAGGGAGGAAGGCCTTCGGATGTCATCCTGAAGAAGAAAGCTTTGCTGTTTCTGGCCAGATGGGTGATGTACGATGGAACCAATTAGCTGAAAAGAAAGGGAAAAATTCAGAATTTCAATTTTCAAAGGAGAGACTTTTTTTTAAAAAATAAAACATTTGATTATTTTCTTCTTTCAAACTGATTTCCATGGTTGTTTGGGGGTAGATTCTTGGTGTCTGAAGTCTGTGGTTGAGAGGCTGAAGCCGTGCTCATTTCTGGGTGAAATTGTGGATACACGGTTACTTTTCAACATGCCTCTATCCCTCCTCATCCCTCCTCCTTTCGCTCCCATCCCCTCCCTCTGCCCAGCAGCCGCTGACGGGAGGGCCCGTACGTTACCATCTGAGAAAGGGGAGACCCACAGCAGCCAGTCACAGAGCTCGTCTGTTACAGCGTTGTGGAGCTCTGGTTTGATGACCTGAATCGCCTTGGCTCCAAGGAAAGAACACTAGATCTGGGCTTCCTCTCTAAGGAAGCAGACTAGTTAACCAGGGTTTAAGATCCCTTCATCAGCTGCTGCTGCTGTTTACTTGCTTAGTTGTGTCTGACTCTTTGTGACCCCGTGGACTGCAGCCCGCTGGGCTCCTCTGCCCCTGGGATTCTCCAGGTAAGAGTAGTGGAGTGGGTTGCCATTTCCTTTTCCAGGGGATCTTCCTGATCCAGGGATGGCACCCAAGTCTCCTGCTTGGCAGGCAGATCCTTTACCACGGAGTCGCCTGGGACAGGTTGCTGAAGAACGTTGGAGTAGCGGGAAGGTGGACGCCTGTGATAAATGAGAGGAGATACTGAGATCATTCCCGCCGCAGGACTGCTTCCTCTTCCGGGTAACAACCGTGACCCCTTCTGTGTTCCCCATAGTGAGGTGGGAACCGCAGGAGACTCCAGTGAGCGGGTCGTGCTGCCTGGCCTCGGGTACCTCGCAGACCTTCAGGGGGTACCAAAGAAGGAGAATGAGAACCCACTCCAGTATTCTTGCCTGGGAAATCCCAGGGACAGAGGGGCCTGGCGGGCTGCAGCCCGTGGGGTAGCAGAGCTGGACACGGCTTAGCGACTGAACAACAAAGAGGCAGTGAACAGCATTCTGGAAGTGAACCTGGCATTCAGCGCCAAGGAGCTTTATTTCCCTCGGGAGGTAGGGTGCATAGTTTAGACCTCTGACGGTTTGAGGTCTTTTCCGAGGCTCTGGCTGCAGGACCCAGGAGTTCAGGTCTTCAGTCCAGTGCTCTCAGACCCTGGGCTATTGTGCTGAGCAAAGCCTTGAATTAGCAGGAGAGTTCCACACCTGCTGAAAGCTTCCATGCTGTTCTGGTATTGTCTGTAGGGTACATGCTGCTGCCATGGCGACCAAAGGGTGGGCGTGGCTGCGAGGATTGAGTGGCCAGTGCCTAGGTTTGCAGCCTGGCTGGAGCCCTGCCGGCCTGTGATACTTCAGCCTCTATCCAGGATGACAGCTCCTCTGTCGCTTTGAACCACCCCCTGCCCCCTCCCAACTTGGGAGCCCTACCCTTGATGACTGTAGGGTGGCTTCCTATGGCTGTGGTTACGGCTCTTGAACTGATTAATGATCCTCCGAGGGAAATTGTAGTCTCCAGAGGGAGACAGATCTGTAGCTCATTCAGACCCTGGACACCCCTCCCCCACCCACAATCCCTTTCCCCGCCCTCCAGCAGCCCCGCACCCCCCACTGGTATTTCTGATGTTTTCTGTGCATGCCAAGGAGGAAACATAAATTCGGGAAAGGACTGGTCCTTGGGTGATGCTTCAGCACTGAAACCCCAGCTCTCAATGCACTGACAGAGTGGCCACTCCTGCTGGGTGCCCCTGCAGCCTCTGCTCACACGTGGGCCCTGGCTGGACTCTGGAATCTGAGCAGTGTGGTTGGGGGAAGAGGAGGCTGGTGGAGGGAGGACTATTGTTTGAGAGCCTCTGAGGCTCCGAGCGTGTGGTGGGGCACCGAGTGGGCCCAGGAGGTGGAAAACCATGAATTTTAATGAGTCACTGTTGTGGAACTTTGCCACCGAACCTTGTCCTCTCTCCAGAGTGGTGCAAATGCAGATGACTTTGCATCTGGACATCATACATAGTTCCCTCCAGAACTGATTCCCTCCTCATCACTCTGCTGTCTACAACCTCTCTGGAAAGAATGGTTCAGGGCAGAAAGCGTGTTTGAGACCGGGGAAACCATCATGTACCAGAGAGCCTCCCCCGCCGGCTGCCTCCCCACCAAATGTACATCCCACATGGCAGAGTCTTTGAGCTGTCGAGATATAATCCCTCCCATCTGGGAGCCAGCGACCCTGGGCAGCGTGTCCCGAGTCACAGAGCCTATGGGGCTCTTTATAGTCTCTGAATCACACCATGAATGAAGTGAGGGGATGGTAGAAGAGCACCTTGGAGTTATAGAGATGGGACCACTCCTTCAGGTAACATCTGTTTAGTAGGGTCTGCTGTGTGCCCAGTACTGTAGAATACAGTCAGGATTTTAAAGAAATGGATCCCTTGTTATGTGGTTTCCCAACTCTGTGGCCCTTTTTGCACTGGAAAAGGCTTCCCTGGTGGCTCAGAAGGTAAAGTGTCTGTCTGCATGCAGGAGATGCGTGCTCAGTCTCTGGGTTGGGAGGATCTCCTGGAGAAGGAAATGGCAACCCGCTCCAGTATTCTTGCCTGAAAATCCCATGGACGAAGGAGCCTGGTGGGTTACAGTCCATGGGGTTGCAAAGAGTCGGACACGACTGAGCAACTTCATTTTGCACTGGAAAAGATTATCGAGAGCACCCAGAGCATTTTTATCTAGGTGGGCTGTATTGATCAGTATCTACTGTATTAGTAGTTAAAACTGAGAAGAGTTTAAAACATAAGGATACATAAGCCCCTTTCCGTGAGCAGTCAGGGTTGACGTCATCACAGATCATAAAACTCTGCTGTAGGCTCCTGAGAGACTAGGAGTGGAAAAGCAAATCTTAGTGCTATTATGAAAATCATTCAAGGGACTTCCCAGGTGGTTCAGTGGTTAAGGCTCAGCCTTACAATGCAGGGGACTCCTGTCCAATCCCGGATCAGGGAACTAAGATCCTATGTGCTGAGGGGCACCTAAGCTTGCATGCCGCAGCAACTACTGAGCTCTCAGGTCTCAACAAGAGAGTCTGTGTGCAGCGACTGAGGCTCAGCACAACCAAATAAATAAATATTTAAAAATAATAGTTCTCACCTTATGGAGCCCCCCTGAAAGGGTCATGGGGACAGACCACACTGTGAGATCTAATGGTACAGTCAGGTCAGTCACGGGCAGTAATAGGTGCTGTCCTGCAAAGGAAGAGGGAGGGAGCCAGAAATGAGTTCAGGCAAAATGCGGTGGGATGCACTGATGCATCCTTATGTTGGTTGTAATGACAGTGATCCATCCACGTGGTCACCCCTTTGCTGACACTGAACACAGATATTCTCCTCCACTGCTCTGGCTGCTTAGCAGGAGAAGGAGGAGGTGGTGGAGGTGGTTTGGGGGCTGCAGGGATCCAAGTGTGTGAGGACAGGATGGACATGACGTTTGAGAGAGCCTACCTGATAAGACTCTTGAGAGTCCCTTGCACTGCAGGGAGATCAAAGAGTCAATCCTAAAGGAAATCAACCCTGAATATTCATTGGAAGGACTGATGCCAAAGCTCTGATACTTTGGCCTCCTGATGGAAAGAGCCGACTCGTTGGAAAAGACCCTGATGCTGGGAAAGATTGAAGGCAAAGGGAGAAAGGGGAGATAGAGGATGAGATGGTTGGATGGTATCACTGACGTAATGGACATGAACTTGAGCATGTCCATTTCTTCACAGAAGATAGTGAAGGACAGGGAAGCCTGGCGTGCTGCAGTCCATGGGGTCACAAAGAGTTGGACACAACTTAGTGACTGAACAACAAGACAATGCCTGATATTTAATCATAACCTTGCATTTGGGAAATGAAAAAATTATTGTTCTAATACTAAGAGTAAAGTGTGGAAGAAACTTCTTGCCTGGGAGAATCCGGAAGCGGGGGCTGGATTTGGGTGCATTATTATTTATCAGAAGACCAAGGTCAAGGTGAGAAACCCTGCCCTACAGTGACCGTTTTCATCTTTCTTCTTCTGCAGGTATTAACTCTCTGATAGCAAATAATGTCTATGAGGCTGCCTACCCATTGCACGACGTGAGTACCACCTCCACCAGTCAAAAGGTGGAGCCCTGCAGGCAACGCAGCAATGAATATACAGGCAGGAGGGAACCATGGCATTGAACCACCTTGGCTGGTTCCCGATCACGTGTGAAAGACAGTAATCCCCAGCTTGATATTTGCCAGTTGTCTCAAACTGTCTCAAGAAAAGTGAATGTTTTTGTCTGAGCCTCCTCTACACTCCCTGCCTTGATTTTGGGGAAAGTGTGAGAAGCTGGTTACAGTGTCAAAAGAGATGGGGAAGGTGGATGCAGGGAGGCAAGTCCCAGACTGTGATGATACACAGCCTGGACCGTTAGGCCCTCGCATGACAGAGAGTGATATGTGATATTATGTATGTGATATTATATATGTAATATTATATGATAGTTATATGATAGTGTTATATGATATATATTATATGCGATATTTTTTATGTGATAGTTTTATTTAGATGTAAAACTCCTCATCCTCTATAGGAACGTGTATTAAGTGTCAGTTTCAGGTCTTTTTTTCTATCTTGACTTTTTTTTTTTTTTTTTTTCTATCTTGACTTTTTTTTTTTTAATTTTTACTTTTTTTTTTTTTTAACACCGAAAGCATTTTGTATTGGGGTATAGCCAATTAACAGTGTTGTGGTAGTTTTAGGTGAGCAGTGAAGGGACTCAGCCATACATATATATACATGGATCCATTCTCCCCCAAACCCCCTTCCCATCCAGGCTGGCACATAATAGAGCAGAGTTCCATGTGTTATACCGTAGGTGCTTGTTGGTTATCCATTTTAAATATAGCAATGTGTCCATGACCTTCTGAAAGTCCCTAACTGTCCCTTCCCTCTGGCAACCGTAAGTTCGTTCTCTAAGTCTGTGACTGTCTTGCTGTTTTGTAAGTGAGTGCATACATATCATTTTTAGATTCCATATATAAGGGATGTCATATGATATTTTCCCTTCTCTGTCTGACTTAATTCACTTAGGATGATAATCTCTAAGCCCATCCATGTTGCTGCAGATGGCATTATTTCATTCTTTTTAATGGCTGAGTAATATTCCATTGTGTATATATACCACATCTCTATCTTTACATTTTAGAAGGAGGTCTCTCAAAATTCCTTCTACTGTTGTGTGGTTAAGAAAACAGAGAAACTAATTATGGCTTTCCTTGGCTGGGAGTAATGTTATAAACATCCCATAACACAATGCAGTGATATTCTTCAAGATGACTCATGAGGACCTTAACTGACCCATGAGCTCAGTGCCCCCCTGACTGCCCCGTCCACCCTGTCGGTCACTTTAGCATCTGCCGCATGGTGGTACCAAATGAGACCCCTGGGGCGGGTACCCTGAGTGCCTGATGAGATTTCCCAGGTGACCTTTTCTCCTCAACTACATCCTTGCCGTGGGCACATGTGAGACGAGGTTCTGCCGGGTATAGACGGGGTGCAAGGGAGGTTTCCTGGACATGCTAGCCTGATTCCAGGGTGGACTCTGCTGTTGCATTTGCTGTGAGCAGGTGCACGAGGCCCTGAGGCCTGTGAGGGGAGATACCCCCTGTAAGAGAAGGCTCGTAGGACACACAACAGGTGCTGGTGAGCCAGGAAGCAGACCTGTGTTTCCTTCCGGGTCATGCCCTTGACCTTCCTTAAGTGGGAATGAAGGAAGGGGATGGTGTTAGAAAATTTAAAAGGGAGCCGTCTTTCTGTTTTTGATCATTCTCTCTGTTTTCTCCTCCCACAGGGTGAATATGACAGTCCAGGGGACGACATGAATGACAGAAAGGTGAGCTGACCTGATGCAGTGCCCAGGGCTCTGGACTTGGGGGCTGCATGTGTGGGTGGGGCTGCGTAGACACATCCTGGGTGTTCTACTTACTGCTTACCTATATCAGCCATTTTTCCACAGCCCCAGGCTTTGGAAATTTGAGGGCCATTTTTGGTCACTTACATGACTGTGTATTGGGGTACAGCTGGCATTCCTTGCTTGGTGGACCAGCGATGCCAACCATCCTGAAATATCCCCAACAGTGGCACACAGAGGCAGCATGCCCACCCCTGGTGACAAGAGAGCTTCAGCTGAGAAACGCTGAGCATCCAGGCCCCTTAATTCAGGGAGTCTCCAGCCTCCGGGATCTCATGCCTGGTGATCTGAGGTGGAGCTGGTGTAATAATAACAGAAACAAAAGTGAAAGTGTTAGTCACTCAGTCCTTTCTGACTCTTTGCAACCCTATGGACTGTCGCCCACCAGGCTCCTCTGTCCATGGGATTCTCCAGGCAAGAATAACTGGAGTGGATAGCCATCCCCTTCTTCAGGGGATCTTCCCAACCCAGGGAATGAACCTGCATCTCCTACATTGCAGGCTGATTCTTTACTGTCTGAGTCACCAATAGAAATAAGGTACACAATGAATGTCATGTGCTTGAATCATCCCGAAACCACCCGCAGCCCAACCCTGGTCTGTGGAAAAATTGTCTTACACGAGACCAGTCCCTGGTGCCAGAAAGGTTGGAGACCGCTGCCTTAATTTATAGATGGGGAAACTGAGGCACAGGATGATGGTATACCTTGTCCATGATAACACTATCGTGATCAACCAAGAGGAGCTAAAACCCCTGGGACCTCAAATCCCATGTTCCTGCTAAACATATACCAATATCTGTGCCACTGTGGCTTTTTTGGGGGGGGCCTTTTTTAGTTTTTTTTTTTTATTCTCTAGGCAGACAGGTGGGGTACAGCAACCCCCAAATTATAGTTGAGAAACCAACTGTGTGTTCCAGGCAGCTGGGAATGAGAGGTTATATTTAGGGGAGGGAAAAGGGTCCCATTGGAGAATCCCTCCTAAGCCAGCTACATCTCCTGCCTGGACAGCTCTGTCCCCAACTGTCCATGTAGATCCCATTTCTCCTGTGTGCTGGTACCCTGGGAGCCTGGGTACCACCCTCTACTCCAGGGATGATGCTCTCAGCATCACCCAGCCTCTTCAGCAGAACTGTCCATCCGACCACCCCTCTCATGCCATTCTCCAGCCAGGTTCCCAGGCTTAAGTGACTCTGGTGAGTAGAGGAGGGTGGGCAAGGGTGGGCGTGATGAGGGGTAGACCCTCCCTGTCCCCACTCTGCTGTCTGGAAAACCATTCATCCCCCAAGTTGCTTTTGAGCAGCCTTCTTTTTATCCTGCCTATTAGTCCCTGTTATGAAGTGTTAAGTATTAAAAACATAAAAAGGTCTTTTCCAGAAATACGGCCGTGATTGCTTACACATGTCCCCCTTTCTGCCTGCCCAGGGAATCTGCTGTAGTTTTTCGATGTTTTAACCTCATCTGTTTTCTATCTGATGCTCATAGTCTTGGGGTTTAATTTCCTGAAAAGTCCAGGATCAGATTTAAAGGCAAGGAGAAGCCTTTCTCCCCACATCTCACCTCGCTGGTCTCAGCCATTTTCTGTCCTCCTATTTTTTCCTTTCATATTCCTCCCCTTTAAATGGTGATCACCACTCCACTGCCCACCTAAGAGACCTCTTGCTGGGTGGGTGATGACCCCCGGCCCATCAAGGTAGGGAGTTTTACAGGAACATTCCAGAGACCAGGAACACATAGAACTCCTGGGAGAAATTAGTCAGTCCCCTATTATCCTCATAGAGGCAGAGAGAAGTGATGTGTAGGCTATCAAGAATCTATGTGCCTTTGTCTGGAATGATATTACATTATTGTTAACAGTAAAATCCCATAACAGAAAGTTGTCCCCCAGGAATTGTTTTACTTAAGGCCATGCACATCCCAGCCAGGGGCGTGGATGGAACCTGGCAGGCAGGAACAGACCTCCAGGGCAGATCTGCGTCTCAGTGGATAATTCCCAAACCTGATGTCAAGCGATGCTCAGTGAGGATGGACAAGTGTCTTTGGAAGACAAAGAGCCCATTTCTTTTCTTTTTTTCAAAATAATTTATTTATTTGTCTGTGCTGGGTCTTCATTGTTGTACAGGCTTTTCTCTGGCTGCAGTGAGCGGGTGCCACTCTCTGGTTGGGGTGTGCAGGCTTCTCATTGCTGGGAGTCTCTTGTGGAGCTCTCGGGCATTTGGGCTTCAGTAGTTGCAGCTCGCAGGCTCAGCTGCCCCGTGACATGTGGGATCGTCCTGGACCAGTGTCCCCTGCGTTGGCAGGTGGATTCTTCACCACTGAACCACCAGAGAGGCCCCAAGGACCCCATTTCTTGTGACTTCTCCTCAGGTTCCCCAGCCAGTCCTGGCCTCTTTCTTTTCCTCTGCCTGGGTCATGGTTAGGGAAATCAAATTTGCTGTGATGGGAGGTAAGAGGAGTTGTGAATGAGACTGAAAGCTTTTTTTCCTGTCCATTTGGATTGGGAAATGGATACTCAGCAAGGCCAGGAGACCNTCTGCCTGGGTCATGGTTAGGGAAATAAAATTTGCTGTGATGGGAGGTAAGAGGAGTTGTGAATGAGACTGAAAGCTTTTTTTCCTGTCCATTTGGATTGGGAAATGGATACTCAGCAAGGCCAGGAGACCAATTCCCATGTCGATTAATTCAGTGATCCCTGACCTTTTTTGGCACCAGGGACCAGTTTTCATGGAAGACAATTTTTCCATGGATCAGGCGAGGATATGGTTTCAGGATGATTTAAGCACATCACATTTTTTGTGCACTTTGTTATTGCTCAATTGCTAAGTCGTGTCTGACTCTTTGCCACCCCATGGACTGCAGCACAGCAGGCTTCCCTGTCCTCCACTATCTCCTGGAGTTTGCTCAAGTTCATGTCCCTTGAGTCGGTGATGCTATCTAACCATCTCATCCTCTGTTACCCTCTCCTTTTGCTTTCAATCTTTTCCAGCATCAGGGTCTTTTCCAATGAGTTGGCTCTTTCTATCAGGTGGTCAAATTATTATTATTAAGTCAGCTCCACCTCAGATCCTCAGGCATTAGGTCCTGAAGGCTGGGGACCTCTGCACTAAATGATTGTTCTGTTAGGACTGACCCTGGCATTCAAATCCCAGTCGGTTCTGCAGCCGGTGGGCATGACCTCTTGTGTGTGGCAGGGGGACCTCTCACTGCAGGGCTGGCTTTGTTACTGGAGCCTCAGAGGTATCTTGAAAGAAAGATGAGAGATCACTCCTCTGGGGGACTTCAGTGGTGATCTGGCCATCCTGCTGCTACCCGGGGTTCGCCTCCCCTCTTCCCTGAGATTTGTAGCTGTTCCAGTGATCTGCCTCTTAGGTGGAGAGCTGTCTCCCCCAATCCCCACCCCCTGCTGCCTAGGGCAGCCTGCAGTCTCTATGACTCAGTCCCTCCTAGAGGGTGATTCGTGAGAGGTTCCCTCCCTCTGGAGACCAGGGGTTTCCCACCTTTCGAGAAAGCAGGGCTGCAGGGTCCGCAGCCACCTCAGTCCACATCTGCCAGACTCGCCTGCTTTTCTCAGGCATCCCAGAGAAGGGACTGTTACTGTCTTTTGAGGGTGGCTTGAGCCCTGCCAGCATCCCATGGCTTCCCTGCCCACTTATGGGGAATCCTGGGCTCAATCTTAAAAGATGACTTCCTTTAACAGCTTTTACACCCTCGGTCCTAGATCTTCCAGCTTTTTCAGAGGATTGTCTTCTCTGGTGGACGGTTAAAAAGTGACCTGCCAGAAGGTTCATGATGAGAGTCCATCATGCTTTCTGATGGGAAGGCTACTTTTTGGTTTCTTTTTCAGTCTCTAGTTTTCCCTTCTTGCACAAGTCCCATTGAATTAATGGAGACATGACCTGCCAAAAACTCAAATAGGTCATTGCAGGATCCAGGGAGTAGAATTCCATCCTGTTCCATTCTGGTCCTCCCATCTCATCAGTGCTTCTCAGCTGGCTGCATCTGGCATCTCTGGACCACAGGTCCAGCTGAGGAGCTTGGGACCTCGGTGAGGGTCATGGGTCTCACGCATCCTGCCATCCTCTGGCCTTGAAGATGGTTTTACCAGTTGGGCCCTTTATAGTCTCATGAAGCACATACTGACCCGCTCGCAGCTGTGACCCTCGGGGATCGACCTGGCCTCTGCGTGCTCTGATCCATCAGCGGGCTCTGATCCATCAGCGGGGCGGTCCCCGTGGCTTGTTTCTTCCTGCAGTAAAGTTTTGGGGTCAGACCCACGTGCTTGGAATGACCTCTGGGACCTCCAACATAAGGCTGTGTCCCCTGAGAAGGAGCTGCAGACCCTCCGGCTCCATTTGCAGGCTTGACCAGTTGGTGAAGAGGGCATGACGTAACTAAGGGAGAGAGCAGATTTAATAAAATCTAATAAGCTAAGAGCTTATTAGAAGGTCCTGTTGCAAGTTACCATGATTGTCCTCCTGAACTTGACTGACACATGCTTATCCCTGTGGGGCAGAGACTCTGGCCTGCCTCCCTGTACCCTGACCGCTGGTCTGTGCTGAGACCCTGTAACCAGGGCATGACCCACCTGGTTTGAAACTGTGTGTTTAAACATTTGTAAAGACAGCTAACAGTCTATAGCACCCACCACCTAGCTCCTGCATCGCCTGCCTGGCGGCCCTATGAGCTGGGCAGAGCTGTGTGGGCATCCAGGCATCACTGTCACATCACCTCCCAGGTTTGAAGCTTGGAGCTCCAGCTCCAGCGGGGTCTGCCTGCTGATATCCTCTGCTGTGTCTGTCTGGCCCGTCTCCATGGAGCACGGGCAGCTCTCTTGACTCAGCCTGCCCTGTATCCACCAGCGATGGATGCGGCCTTGAGAAAGGACTCCTGGAGATTTCGTCCAACAGGTCTGGGAGTCAGCCCGGGGCAAGGCCTGGGAGCCTGACTCTCAGTTTGGACCTGAGTCAAGTGGGCCACACTGGCTTCCTGGAGCATTTTCAGTTTTCCCCTTCAGGGCAGTGCAGACAGGTGTTCTCAGGTTTAAGGGTTGGACTTGGTGACTTGGAGAGGAATGTGCCCTGGAGGTCAGGGCCTCGGAGGGAGCATTGACGTCCCACCGCTCTCCCGGGAGGCCTTGCCTGTATCTCTTGACGCAAGCGGGTCTCCCTGTGGGCCCCCAGTGATGTCACTGTGACAGCCAGGTTCTGGTGAGCCCAGTGTTGGCACTGGGGAGAGGGAATAAAAACCCAGAGCGGTAGAAGCACCAGGATGACAGGGAGGAAGAGATATAGTAATAATGGTGTGACCAGGTTTGGAGCCACTTGCCTGGAACACAGCCTCAGGCTTCATGGATTCAGATCTTCGCCTGCCCACCAGGCACCATGTCACCCCCTTTGTGTTGGGGTATCCTGTCTGTAGAAAGTGGGACTCTGGGTGCAGCTTGTACCATGAGGGTCCATGCAATTTCTGGTTCTCTTCTGAAGTTGTTGGGGGACATTGTGACAATAAAAAGTCTACAGCCGCCGAGTAGGAATGCCAATTCTTATTTCAGTTTTGATATTGTGTCTTTGAAGACTTCCTGTAGGGCTCATGTTCAGCCATCTACCCAGAATACCTGATTAGAGTCACTTCTCCTTGCTAGAATTGCATGAGTTCTGTGTGATATGTGAGAAGATGCGATGTGGAAGACTTGGAAACGTGAAACAGCATTATCTCCCAAGATTCTCCCCTTGCTCAGCCTGGCCTTCCTGTGAGGACATGTCACATGCACTTTCCTCAAGGCCTTGGCACAGAAGGAGTGTTCTCCTAGCTGAAACATACCCCCATCTCCTAGGTCTCAACCCAAATGTCACCTCCTCAGAGAGCCCTTCTCCTGCTATCCTTTCTTACATTCCCTGGTGGCTCAGAGCGTAAAGCGTCTGCCTGCAATGCGGGAGACCTGGGTTGGATCCCTGGGTCGGGAAGACCCCCTGGAGAAGGAAATGGCAACCCACTCCAGTATTCTTGCCTGGAAAATGCCATGCATGGAGAAGCCTGGTAGGCTACAGTCCTTGGGGTCGCAAAGAGTCAGACACGACTGAGTGACTTCACTTCATCAATAATTACTTTGTTTTAAAATTAATTTTGATCTGAGTACAGTTGATTTATAATGTTGTGTTAGTTTCAGTTGTACAGCAAAGTGAATCAGTTGTACATATACATATGTCCACTCTTTTTTAGATTCTTTTCCCATCTAGGTCATTATAGAGTATTGAGTGGAGTTCCCAGTACTATACGTGTGTGCGTGCGTGTATGCGTGCTAAGTTGCTTCTATCATGTCCGACTCTTTGTGACCTCATGGACTGTAGCCTGCCAAGTTCCTCTATCCATGGGATTCTCTAGGCAAGAATACTGGAGTGGGTTACCATGCCGTCCTCCAGGGAGTTTTCCCGGCCCAGGGATCGAACCTGCATCACTTATGTCTACTGCATTGGCAGGCAGACTCTTTACCACTAATGCCACCATGTCTTGGCAAGTGTCTAATTTTAACTTGCTAAGCTGGATACAAAAGGTGACTAGTTGCCCACTTCACCTCTAACCTGGTTCCCTGTTTTTTTTTTTTTTTGTTTAGCTGCTGTATCAAGAATGGGCACGCTATGGGGTGTTTTATAAGTTTCAACCCATTGACCTCATCAGGTAAGATTGGAGGGGACCCTCAGGAGGACCCGAAAGATCTCTGCTGACCCTCTTGGCCCTTGGAGGTCTATTGGCCAAGCAGAGGGCTATTCTGGACTGTGACCCCCCCCCGCCCCGGCCCCTGCTCTGTGTCTTATGGTGGGGACCAGCTCCTGGGCGAGGGAGGGCAGTGGTGGCCTTGGGGCAGCAGCTAATATAGCCAGATGTCCCGTGACTTGCATCTTTGGGTCATCAGCACTGTGGTCTCCCCCTTTCTGCTCTTGGGGGGAGAAGGGTGTGTAGAGTTCTTCTTTTATTACCATCCCTCTGATTTGCATCAGGAAGGATCTGGATGCAACAGATCCTTGGGTCATGGCCCAGAAGCCACAGTGCCGAACAAGAGGGGAGACCTGACAAATCATATAAAGAATGAACTGACTGGTCTGAGAGGATATGTGGACTTTTTATGGCTTACCCAGAATGATTGGAAGGGAGGAGAGCCTGGGTCCTAAATCCCACCCTCTTAGTGCTGCCTCCAAAGTGCTGCCCAGTTACCTTGGGAATTTGTGAGACTTGTACAGAACAGAGGTGACAGGCTTCCTGAAAGAACTTTCTAGAATTCGATAGGTCTGACTAGCCTCAAATGGTTGAGGGTTGTTAGAACCCCACGTCTTTCTCAGGTGAAGTGTTAGGGGGTCACCCTGTGCAATGGGGGAGCCCTGAGCTGAGACTCCGGAGATGGGGGGTCTTGTCCAGGCCCAGCCACTAGGGGGAGCTTGCTTCTCTGGGCAAGTCACAGCCCTTCTTTGGTCTTCTGCATCCTGTTGTTCAGTCGCTCAGTCGTGCCTGATTCTTTGCGACCCCATGGACTGCGGCATGCCGGGCTTCCCTGTCCTTCACCATCTCCCAGAATGAGAGACACTGAGATAATGAGACATTGGGACAATGAGTTTGAGACATTGCTCAAACTTATGTCCATTGAGTTGGTGATGCCATCCAACCATCCCATCCTGTCATCCCCTTCTCTTCCTGCCTTCACTCTTTCCCAGCATCAGGGTCTTTTCCAATGAGTTGGCTCTTTGCATGAGGTGGCCAAAGTATTAGAGCTTCAGCTGCAGCCTCGGTCCTTCCAATGAATATTCAGGGCATCCTGGTGGCCCCAAACTGGGAAGCTGAGCCGATGGCTCTGTGGGGAAATTTGGTCCAGCACACTCATTTGGAAATGATGGGGACCCTCAGCACCTGACATAGAGGACTCGCTGCCCCTCGGTCACCCGTGGTTCATTCTCATGAGCTAATTCATCAGCCGGCAAACTCCGAGAGTGTTCCTGGCTGCTCGCCCCAGGCTGAGACCTCGAGAGGGGCGGCCGCCAGAAGGATTGGATCCAGTGGGAGCAATTCCAGCTCCTTCTTGGAAGAAGACAGCAGGCTGGGAGTCAGAGTTTGGGCAGGCCCACCTCCCACGCAGAGAGGGGACGGCCCTCCCGGGGAACTGGGAGCTCAGTTGGATGTCTCTTGACAGCAGGTGTTTGTTCCAGCTGAAGGCTGTTAGCCGAGGCACTGGGGTTGGGGAGCCGGGCCACGGATGCGGGTGACCGCGGCCCCTCACCCAGCGCCTCCCGTCCCCTGGCTGCTTTTGTGAGGCGCGGCCACCTAGATTGTTCTCCGGGCCGCTTCCTCCATGCCTGGCAGCCTTTGATCTTCCTCTCGGCCTCTCCAGTGGCCACCCACACTGTCGCCTGTTTTCTCCAACTCGTTTTTTAAAAATATGATTCCAGAAAATAAAAATTCTCCCTACCGGAGAGCCTCGTCTTTTCTCTGGAAACTTCAGGTGACCAGCTGCCAGCTAAGTGGGCGACGGCAGTTCTAGGGTGCACCCCGTTTTGGCCACCAAAGAGGCCTCACCTGCAGGGGAAGTGTGACCTTTGCTGCAAAGCCCTGCTCTGGGGTCTGGCAGTTTCCAAGGATGCAGAGCCCGAAGCTATGGGTCCTAGTGTCCATTTTGGGTTCCAGTGTCCACTGCGGGTCCCAGTGTCCACTTCGGATCAGAGTTTCTGCCACATGTCACAGTGTCCACTTGCTGCTCAGATCTGGGAGCCTGGGGGCTCTTGCAACCCCTGCAGGATGCCAGCAGCTTGGATATGCCTAGAGCCTGGAGCATCTCTCAGATACTGGCTGGAGGGGAGGGAATGGTAATGTGTGTGGTGGGGGGCGGGAGTGGGGGATTGTTGTCCACCCAATGGGGTAAGGAATTTGCTCTGCTGGAGAGAGAAGAGGTGACCATGGAGAGAGAAGAGGAGAGAGAGAGAGAAGAGGTGAAGGGGAGACAGGGAAGGGACAGAGGCCTTGAGGGTACAGGTAGGTCTTGGAGACAGGGACGCCATGAGCATACACCTTGGGGGCTCATGGAGAGGAAACTGGGGTGGAGGGCGTGGGAACAGCTCCCGCACTCTGCCGGTTCCACCCAAACTCCTGTGTGTGCGTCACCTCCTTCCTCCTCCCCATCGTCTTCCTTCTCCCAAGTCCTAGTCCCCGGTCTGACACCAGCTCCTGTGAGTGTGTCTTCAGCACCATTTCTCTCTTTTGCTACTTGTTCTTCATCCTTCTTGCCTCCACCTCTGGAGACCTGGTGGTCCGCGGGATCCAGTCGGAGGCTGCCCAGACCCTGTGGTTCCATTGCAGCCCACGCCTGTGAACTGTGCCCCCTGCAGGCTTACATGGTAACTGCACCCACGTGTTCTGTGCTGAAGCAGGGGCGTCCTGTCCAAGTTGGAGGTGACTCTTGAAAAGGCCGGAGGGGTCTTTGCTGCCTGTTCCCTTGGGCCCCTGGCCTCTCGTGTCAACACTTAGCTCCATTCCTCCCCGTGTGCCTGTGGTTTGGGACATTCAAAAGCACAGAGCAGCTGAGAGCCCAGCGGGTCTGGGCAGTCTGTTTGCATGTAAAGCACTGGGACCAGCTATCCTTCCCCATCTGCAGCCCTTCAAGCCTAAGCTGGAGACGTGGGGTTCGAAGCTCCTTTCCCAGGGGTGGAAAGTGGGCAGAGGGGAGACTAGACGCCCTTTCCTGCACCGTGAGCCCCTCCCTCCCACTGTGGGCATCTGGTTCCAGCAAGCTGCATGGTGAGGATGCTAATGGGGGTCCCAGCCAAGTCAGACTCTGCACTCTGGTTCCTTCCTTTGTTCTGGAAACCTCAGGGCCTACAGGCCTAAGCAGAGTTTGTGTGTGTGTGTGTGTGTGTGTGTGTGTGTGTGTGTGTGTGTGCTAACATGTGTGGGCATGAATATAAGTGTGTATCTGCACTCACATGTGCGCATGTGTATATGTGTATGTGCACACACGTGCACACGTTCATGTATGTTTATTGGTACATGTGTATGTGTGTATATGTGCACGTGCGCAGGTGTGTGTGTGTGCGTGTACATGTGTGCATGTATTTGTGTATGTATATGTGTGTATAAGTGCTGCTTGGGAAGTTCCCCAGGGAGGTATCCAGCAGGGACCCCCACTCTCCCACAGTAGATTCTTCTGGGAACTTCCAGCCTGCGGCACTGGTGTCCAGGCAGAAACAAGGTTTGTGATGGAGCCAGTGGGGGAAATGCTGTCCTGGCTGGAGGGAGGTGGCTCTACTAGTCTCTTGGGGCTGTATGAGCATCCTTACAGGTAGAGGAGTAGATTTCTGCCTTCAGCACCCAAGGTTCACGCCCTGATGTCCCAGGAAGGGAATGACCTTTATTCCTTGGGGTACCCAAGAGCCTGGGCCGTGGGGGTGTGTACAGTGCTGATCCCATATTAGCCAGCACCCTGCCTTGCCTTTTCATGAAAATGAATATCCACTCATGGGCTGCTCTTCTTAGCTGGAAGGTTTTGCTATGGATGAGACAAAACAATAGGCTTCAAACATCTGAGTTAGATTTAGCTACTAACAAGCTGATATACAAAACTGTATTTGAAAGCATCTGCTGCCAGTTACGGAGAAGGCAATGGCACCCCACTCCAGAGTTCTTGCCTGGAGAATCCCAGGGACAGGGGAGCTTGGTGGGCTGCTGTCTATGGGGTCGCACAGAGTCGGACACAAGTGAAGCGACTTAGCAGCAGCAGCAGCAGCAGCTGCCAGTTAACTACAATGGCATGTGGAGGAGAGGGGACCAGAAGTCCACTCACCTCAGGGATGGTAGCTGATGGCCTTGGGGGATGCACCAAGGGCATCGTATATAGGCAATGTCCACTGTGCCAACTTGGCGTGACTGTCTGGGGAAGGGTGAATGGCTCTTCCTTGTTCCCTCCTTTTCCGAGGATGATGTTTCACAAGGGGAGTAGCACCTATCCCTGTGGCGGGGCTGGAGCCCTCTTAGCAACGTCCTGCTTCCTCAGTCCCTCTTCCTAAGACCTCAGTGATATCAGGAGCCTTTGGGTGGCATCTGTGGACAGCAAGAGTGGCGCTGTGCCCCCACCTGTCTGCCCATCTCTTCCGTCCCAGACTCTCAGCCCGCTCTAGCCCCACCCGTGGAGAGCCCGTCTAGAACTGGCATCTCAGGAATTGGCTTTCCCTCCTCCTATTATAGGGGCTTCCCAAATAGCGCTAGTGGTAGAGAACCCACCTGCCAATGCAGGAGATGTAAGAGATGCAGGTTCAGTCCCTGGGTCAGGAAGATCCCCCAGAGGAAGGCATGGCAACCCATCCCAGGGTTCTTGCCCGGAGAATCCCATGGATAGAGGAGCTTGGTTGGCTACAGTCCATGGGGTTGCAAAGAGCTGGACACGACTGAGGTGTCTGAGCACGCACACACCTCCTATTACAAGGCAGAGGCCCTGATCCTTGCCAGAATTCCTCAGAACAACCACTAGAAGGTTGGTCCACCCCCCTCTGTCTCTGAGCCCTTCTTCCATCCTCCTGAAATGCACCCACATCTCCCTCCCCTCCCCCACCCCCCGGCCCAGGGGAGAGATAGAGGAAGCCACGTTCTTTCTTAGGAGGCTTCTCAGCAGGCCAGACTCAGGGAGGACTGGCCACAAGTGGTTTGGGGGAGGGACTGGAGAGGAAAGAAGAAAACGTTGCTCAACCCATGATGAATTATTTCCTGAGCCTGCTACCTCCTTCTTGATCTTCACTGGGATTCATACAGGCAGTTCAGCTCAATGCGATCAACATTTACTGATGCTCACAGTGAACAAGTCGGTGTGCCCTCAATGCAGGGAGGCAAGGCTAGGAATAGGGTGCAGTTTGTGTCCTTAAAGATCTAGCAGTCATGTAGGGAGCCAAACATGTGCGAGGCAGGATGGAGTGAAGACTTTTAAGGACTATTATGTAAGTATGAATGTGATTGGACGGGACAATGGCTGGAGAGTAGTTGCTACTAGCAGAGTAAGGGAAGACTTCCTGTAAGAGGTGGCACTTGAATTAGAAACATTGCTTTCTGAAGGCCTGAAGTTAAAGAGTTAAAAGTCTTGAGTATGTCTTCATTGTCAGCCTCAGCTGCCCCAAATATGAACTCATTGAGCCTGGTATTGTCGGCCAGAAATCACAGTGCTGCCCAGAGCCAGGTCCTTCCTGACGATCGGGAACAATCAAGTCAAGAACTTGACTTGCAGACCTCACTCACCTGCCTGGACTCTATGCCAGGCCTGTCTCATGTCTTTGGTTCTGCCCCTATAAGTGAGCAGAGCATCCAGGGTTAGAAGGAGATGAGGCTAGACCCAACAGAGGAAACCGAGGAGAGGTGATGTGTGAGGCCAGCCACTTGTGTTACGCGGGTCTCAGCCTTTGAAGTATTGGACTGAGCCAGCAAACACTTTGCAGGCTGAAAAGGGGTCATATTTCATGGGCCTGAAGAAGACTTTTCTTTTTCCTCTGAGGGTGTAGGAGCATGGTTGACAGAGAAGAGCAGGCAGTAGCTGGTTGCAGCAGAAACACGGATAATGATGTTCTGTGCTGTTGTATTCTGGTTCATTTTATAGACAGGGAGATAAGTCAGGCTGTTTATGAGATGCAGCTGGGAAAGAGGCCTGTCCCCCTTCTCCTTTCTCTCCCTCTTCCTCCTCCCCAGATGCCATGCTCCTCCAGTCCTGCACCCTCCAGAGGGGAGGGGCCAGCCTGGGACTGCCAGTGGACCAGGAGTTGAATGAGGTGCCCCCAACTGCACCCTGAGGCTGTTCTGGTCCTGCGAGGGTGGCCTTCCGGCCTTCCCTAGCTGGTGGCTCCTGTTTTAGATCAAACTGAATCTTCCTTCCTGGAGTACCAGTACTTGGTGGCTCCCACTGCGTCAGGAAGCTGCATGAACTCCCCATGGCATCCTAGGGTTGCATGGCCAGAGGTGGTTGGGGGTGAGCATCTAGTTCACTAGCTCCCTGCCTCCCTGACCCCCTCATGTCAGGTTCTGTTTCCCGAGGAGGAGGGAAGCTGGTATTTGCCTGAAAATATATGACAAGCTGTAGGATTCCTGTCTCCTTGGCCCTTGTGTGCAGTAAACTCTCATTTATCTGGAACGCCGGGACTAAACCATGACATCACAGTGGTGGGGAGCTTAGAGGTTGGCTGACCTCGGTGCCCGGACATGGGATAGGGGATGGAAGATTTCCACTCCCAGCATACTGATCGAGCAAACACCCTGCATTATTTTTCTTATAATAGGGAGTGCCTGGCCTTGGGGGCAGCATATTTGTCTGTTCTAGCCACTCAAAATGGTCATGGAGCCAGAACTTTGTCAATTTCCCCTGTTTACGTTCAGTTCTGCTCCCTGGAGCTCCATGGAAAGCAAGCTTCTTCCTGTTGGGTTCTGATGGTTGTTATTGTTCAGTTGCTCAGTTGTGGCCGACTCTTTGCGACCCCATGGACTGTAGTCCACCAGGCTCCTCTGTCCATGGGATTTCCCAGGCAAGAATGTTGGAGGGGTTTGCCATTTCCTTCTCCAGGAGATCTTCCCCACCCGGGGCTCGAGCCCGAGTCTCCTGCATTGCAGGCAGATTCTTTACCACTGAGCTACTAGGGCAGCCCTTCTGCTGAGCCGGCCAGCCTCATGTCCCTGATAATTCTCACGCCTTCTTTCCTGCAAGCAAAACACACCTGGCCCTGCTCCACGTCCTCCGGTGTCACGGGCTCTTCAAACAGTTTTATCCTCACTGCAGTCCTCTTCGAGACCCACTGTCCTGGCAAAGTCAGAGCAGGACCCTCCGGCCCCACACTTCACCTGGTGTAGCTAAGCCAACACGCGTTTGCGGTGGTGGTGTGTCTGACATTGATGCTGGCAGGATGGAGATGAATTAAGCATGACCCCATTCTCCAGGAGCTTAAGTGCAAAGTCACATCTCAAAGCTTGTAGATGTTCAATTGGCTTTTCTGGGAAATCTAGGGACGGACAGATAGAGAACATTTTCAAAAAGTAACTGTGAGACTGTAGAAAAACATTATACAGAAGAGGTCCTGGGGGGAAGCTGGCCTCCAAGCAAGTCGTCTGTGATGGGGTGTGATGGGGTGCTCAGCGCTGTCAGCTGTGCTTCGGGCAAAGATTTTCAGTGGTGACTCTGACTTTCCAGAAACATCCTTTGATGTGTGACAGCACCCACAGACCCATGAAAAAACCTCAGAAAGCATTTTAGGATCATATCACTTAGGTATTTACCAAATCATGGCAAAGCCTCACGTGTGCAAGTCAGGTAATCCTGCCTAAAGAAAACCCAGCCAGGCTAGAACTATTTCAGGGAATGAAGGGTAATGTGTTCAGAGATGGGGCGAGACAGCTGTATGAAGACAGACTTAGAGAGTTCGTATTCTAGGAAGAAGTGGAGAGGGAGCGGAGTCTTTACTAAATTATGAGATGGATAGTGAATGTCCATGTGCTTATCAGACCCCAAGGCACCTGTCTAGGAATGTTCCTCTGGACCAAGAGCAGTGGGTTAATGATGAGAAGAACTCAGCTTGGCTCCAGCCTTCATAGTAGGTGATATAAATATTTGGACAAGCCATTTTCTCTTGAGCCTCCATGTCCTCAGCTATGAAATGAGGATCAAAAGACCTGTCCTAAATGCCCGACAGCAGTATGGTGAGGCTTACGATACAGTTGTGCAAATAGCTTTGTGAAGGGCATAGGTCTGGTTAAGTAAATCTATTATTTATCTGCTCCCTCGGGAAAAATTATACTATTCCCTAGACTAGCAGAATTTGATATGGTTCAAGCTCAAGAGTCTTGGCAAACATTGTATAATCATAAGGCGGTTTTTTAAAATTGTAAATCAGTGCCCTGGAATCATGCAGTTTGCATGGTATGCTCTGCGCCTCCCAGCAACCCTGCCAAGTGGCTGTTCTTACCTCGTGTTCCAGAGAGAGACCCTGAACTCAGGAGACAGGAGCTTCCTGAAGCCACAAGCCAGCCCACCTTTGGTTCAGCCCCAGACCTGTCTGACTCCAGAAACCATATGCTTGCCCTCGTACCACATGGATGAAGGTGACCCAGAGCTCCGTCCAGCCAGATGTCGTGTGATCTGGGCTTCCAGATTTCTCAAATTAACCCTTCCAGTTAGCAACCTCTGAGGGACACCTGGTGTGGTCTGGGGAGGGGAGAGGGGCTCACTGACCTGGTCACCCCCTGCTCTATCTGATGATGGGCCAACCTCATCAACGTCTCTGTTTCAGCAGGAGTGATGTGTCACTTGCCAGAGCGGTTTGTTAGGAGACCCCAGAATGCTATGTTTTGGTTTCTCCTTTCTGCTTCTCATAATCTTTTCCCCCTAACTTCTTCATGTCATCAGGTTGTCAGCTGTCACTTCTTGCTTTTGTCAGTGGAGTAGGTTCCTTCCTGACTCCGGTTCGCTGCTCTGTCTCCGTTGCAGGTGTAGTAACCTGACCCCCGAGCAGGCAGCCTTATGCACCGGTAAGCCTCTTAGGCACCCTTCCCAGGAGTTTGCCTCCTGGTTGCTGTGGGATTTGGGGAGGCTCTACCATTGTCATGGAAATGTCTTCTTGGTGTTTTCCAGTGGGTGAAATGGTGTTTCCAGGATGGGACCAGAGTCAGTGTGATAAGGCAGGTGCCTCTGCTGTGCAGAGCTGTATTTTGTTCTTCTTGCTTGCTTTGGGAGGTTGCAAGAAATCCAGACCATCAGAGACTCTTCTTAGAACTCAGTGTCTATTGACACAGGAGTGGATCCCTGCATCAATGGCCTACTCGATGCTGAGCTTTGACCTGGGTGTGGTGTCAAAGCAGGAAGCTTGCAGTATAGTGATGGAACCCCAGGTATTCACAGTAAATCTGATGGAAGCCATTAAGGTAAAGTGGTACCCTACTGGGAACCCATGCGTAGAGCTGTCTGCAGAGGGGCTGGGGGCTAGGTAGTGGCCAAGGGGTGGGCCAAAGCTTCTGAATGGGTTCATAACCAGCTTTAGTGTGGCCAAGAAGAGAAAAAATGAGACTTATGGGACATGTGAGTTTTGAGCAGAAAGTAGAGATTTGAAGGAAAGAGGAAATAGGGTTGGGTGGTTTACCAGTTTTAGATTGAAGGTCCAGAGATACTGACTGAAGGAGAGGCTCAAGAACGGGCTGAGGCTGATGACAGCTGAGAAGAGAGCCCTGGAGCCATGGGAGGTGGTTGGGGGAGATACCTGGGGTGGTGTAGTGGCAAGAAAGCCTAGAGAGAGGGGTCGTGATGATAGGTAACAAAAGAAGATGCTACTGAGTGGTTTGTCTAGGATTTAGGTTGGTGGCACAACAGGACTTGAGAGGGTTCAAGACTTGAGCACTTCTTGCCGTGAGGTGGGAATGGACCTGTTGGGAACCAGTTTTTCAGTCACTTTCTCTTGGGAAACTTTAGGATAAATCATTCAGCCCTTTGGACCTGATGTACTTCCTCTTGCTGAGATGGAGAGAGGAATCTTTGCATCTTCTTCACAAACCCTCTAGGCTGTGACGACAGGTACCATCTGTCTGTGGGAGGCAAGGACCTCAGGTGGATCGGAGGGGGCTGCTCTTGCCCTGGAAGGAAGGAGGGGACCGGCTGGGGGATGCGTCACCATGGACACCACCCAACTGTTTGATCCCTGGAGCTGCCGTTCCAGCACACGTCTGTGGAAACCCTGAGCTCCTCATTCCCTCTCATGACACTCCCCTGAGTGTTGCTCTCCACCCACACCACGTGTGTATGAAACCAGCATAAACAGAAAGCAGCTTGACACATTGAACAATACCCTTGGAACACACGTTGCAGCCACGACCGCAAGATCGCTCCATTTAATCAGCTGGGCATGCCCAGATGCTTCACACAGGCACAAGCCTCTGTTTTCAGGAATGGAAAGCTGCAGCATTTTGTGGGTCTGGAAGTCACAGACATGAGCACGAAACAAAACAAAAAGCTTCAAGATCCCTGCCTGGCAGACTGCTGTCCTCCAGTACCTCCTTGGGGTTATCACAAGGTAGCCAAAGGTGTTGTAGGAGATGTGAGTTTGAGCCCTGGGCTGGGAAGATCCCCTGGAGAAGGAAATGGCAACCCACTCCAGTATTCCTGCCAGGGAGATCCCATGGACAAAGGAGCCTGGCGGGCTACGCA